TATGTGTGTGGGTAGGTGGGTGTGTGTGTGGGTGTGTGTGTGGGAATGAGCGAGAAAGAGATAGAGAGAGAAAGTATGCGTGTGTTTGTGTGTATGTTTCCCTGTTTTCGTGTGCATGCGTGTACCTGTTATTGTGTGTGTGTGTGTACCTGTGTTTGTGTGTGTGTGTACAACTTGTATATGAATCTGTATACACACAGTAATCAACACGCACACGTATATATTTTGGCACCGTCCAGATCTATATTTACGCACACTTACCGGCAACTCGGGACATGACTTAAATTCGACACGCACAAACTGCTGCGGTATCGCAATATCCATCTATGCAGGTTTTGGTACACGGTTGATGTACGTAATATTATACACGCTGAAGCACCTCTCATATTCTCTGGCTTGTCCTCGTTTGAATCAGACGGCCCTGCTCATAATACGCTTTAGAAGTAAGCAGACAACCACTGTCGGCGCGGACCTACTAGATTGTTTCAAAACTGTGCACATTGACATTGTTGATATTTATATATTGATTGTGGATATATCATATAGCCCTTGGCGTGGTCGAGCACTGCCTACCCGTGTATGCTAGCTTTAAATGCTACACTGTTCACTTGACCCCCTTCTGGCAACTTCTGTTGATGGCCGACGTATGGCACTCCATTCGATTCCACTTATGTACACTATTCCAATGTGGTACAGCTTCATGTACGTGTCCTCAGGGCGCCAGAGCATTATTGTCATAGCGAAACTACTCAATCCGTCACTTTGGCATAACAATGACTTCTCTGTGACCGTAGCTCTGCCCGTGCAATGTCTGCACCCACTGTGGTAGCCTGTACATAGTTAAGACGTTGAGGTACGTTCGCTAATCCATTACACTTTCACAAGGTACATATGTCATAGTGGACCACGACATCGTATCAAGACAAACCAATCACTCACTCGTTGCCATAGAAGTGGCTATCGCCACCGGCTGCGAAGGCTCGTTCGTTTTACATCCCGACGTTTTCTCGACGTTCTGCTTACTATTCTTCTTCAGTCCCTTGGCCCCGCCACTAAGACGTTTTCTGACAAGTCTCGTCAGTTTTCTCTTGGCCAAATGTGGGGGGCGCACTTTCCCTTTGACCTTCCAATAGAGCACACATGCGTTACACAGATTCCCCCCACTCTCACTGCGATGCCATTTTTTCTCGCCAAAGATACCGCAATTCCCACACGTGATCTCACCGGATACCGGTGCAGCAGACCCGGTAGCTTTGATGATTGCAGACGCGGACTGCGTAGAGGATAGTGAGCTGTTTGCATGTATATCAGCATGCCCGTGTGCGCCGGGTGGGGTATTATGCTGGCTGTGATGTTCGCTATTTTCCACATCACTTCCACAAGTCGAGACAGAGGCAGAGGATCTGGCCCTGCCGGTGATACTGCCCGCGGTCGGCTGGTATGCCAGTGTAGGATTCTGCATCCCTTTCGATACTTCATATGTGGTGTTGTCCCTCTCAAGCATATCTTGTAGCAACTCATTCATTTGCTCGCGACCATGGGATTCACCTGACATCGATGCTGTGTTCAAATCCGATACCTGCATATTTTGCGCTAATGTGCTCCCAGAGTACATGCCAACGCCCTGTGCATTATTCAGCAATGGGCCCTGCAGTTTCAGTCCTGTGATTGTCTCATAGTCGTCTAATGCGATACCGGAATCACGCGTTGTGAACGCTCTCTTATCCGCGAGTCCCATACCGTCCGACAGCTGCAACGAGGGAGACGATATGTCTGCGAACGAGTTAAGAGTCCAATCGGCACTACCGGGGGTAAGATCATCCCATAAAAAAGCTGCAGTGGAAGTATCAGTACCCGCCGAATTGGCCGGGGTGATTGTAGCATCGTTGATACCCAATTGTGAATCCAGTCGGATACTGCTGAGATCACCCATATTCGCGTAACTGGCTAATTCCAATTCGAGTGCCGCCAGACTGCTCAGACTCTCCGTTTCAAACGGCTCGAAAGTTCGTAAATCCCTGAAGTTGATGTTGTCAAGTGGCTTGAGCAGTTCCAAACCCGCGATTGATGCGCGAGTGGAGTTGGTCTGTTGTCCCAGGGAAGAAATACCAGCCTCTGTATTCAAGCTTGTTTCTGAATTGCCCTCCCCTTCGTGACTCATTGGACTCTCCACTAAGGATATGTCTGGCCAGCTAGACGAACTGATATCAACCTCTCCTAGGCGAAGTGATGAGTATATACCCAAATGCTCAGAGTCGAGCCCGTCGCTCGGTTGCGACAAGTCGGGTGTGAATTCATTCAGAGTTGTTAATGGCGTGACTACAGGAGAGGAAGAGAAGTTTTGCAAGTCCATCTCCACAGAGGATGACAATGCGGGGGACAGAGTCGGATTTGACGATGCAACTGGAAGCATTGGAACACTGCTTAAATCCCATTGAGGTTTTTGAGGTGGAAGGAGTGTGCTACTATAACTATTGGTAGATGTACTATAATTATTGGTAGTTCGAGGTGGACTGGAGCCCGACATCGTGAAGCCCATCCCATTTGAATACGCGCCCGTATTCATTGTAGTGGGATACGAGTTTGTGGCAAATGTACCCATGTGTGTACCTATACCACCTGTACCTATGTGTGACGGCTGTGTAGGATTTGTACCGGTGATTGTTGCAATATTCGGCCAAGGTAAGGCTGAGGTTGAACTCGGCACGGACGCGTGTGATGTACCTGGTCCCGACATGGTATGCATAGCCCAGGGAGTGATAAACTTTGTGATATTCGTAGGTGCTTTACTGGTTGGGCTAGACCTTTGAGGCTTCGTCAGTGGAGCTTTGGGCTTTGGTGCGGGTGCTTTACTTTGTTTTGCGTTCGATGCCCGTTTCGGGCGCGATTTCCGTGCCTTACTCTGCCGATGGGGGCACCACTCGATGAAAACAACATCCTTCCTCTTTCCTGTCATCGTGAAACTCAAAAGTACTTGAAGACTGTGTGACCGATTTGGAATTAATAGGCTTGATGTGTAGGTATGGGGGTGAGGCGACCAGCAATATAGGTTAAGGTAAACCAGTATTGTTGTAAACTGATGTGTAAATGTGTCTGTACTATGTAGTCAGTGAGAAAATTGCGCACAGTGTTTGTTTATTTACTATCTCAGGAGTCTGGAGTCTGGGACTGGAGGTCTGATTTTTATTCCAATCCGAAAAATCCAGAAAATAAATTCAACCCTCTTCTGCCTTATGCCTTCTGAAAAAAAATTAAGAAAATGTTTTTCTTGGAAAAACAAATAATTTTGTTCAGTCTAAAATTATTCAACGCAATTCGGGTCGCATAATATATATATTTTTAAATACCCTCTCAGGAATGAGACAGGACTCACATTCACAGTCAAATCACAGACACAAAGTCACAAAATCACAAGTCTATTTTTAACTGGAGTCGCATTAATTAATAAAAACATGCTGCTTCGTGCCTTCGGCACTGACTGTTGACTTTGACTACTGATGAGTCATGAGTGCTGACTGCAGCAGTGAAGTTCACCTTCAGTTTCAGACTTCAGTTCAGGCAATACTGTTTAGCGTACTGTGGTAAATTTGTTTTTTTTGTATTTTTTTAAAATCACAAATTGTATGTACTGGACTACATACTGGGTATGTACCCCGAGAATATTTTTTTTGTAAACTAAAAATCATATATGGAAAAATTGGTATTGAATTTAGGTTTACTATACCAAGACCCCAAGTTCTTACATACAATGTAAGCACACGAATTTCCATTCAATTTTATAAAATATTTTCCTCAAATTTCTTTTTTTCAGCCCTTCACTGATCCAAAATTTCAAATACATAAATACACACATATAACCAGATTTTCTTCTTTTTTGTTTGGAAACAAAAAAGCACAACAAATTACTCTTCAACCGCAACGGCAGCCTCTGAGACTCTGATCCTCTGAGGCCCTCTCTTCTATCTCTGTTGTGTGTTCACTTTGTAGAGTGTTGACGTTGTACAATATAAATATATTTTTGGTTTTGAAACATTTATGTTTTTTCAAAACAAAGTGATTTTTTTTTTGACAGATATATATTCGCGTTTTTATATATTTTTTTTAAATGCAATATGTATTTATATATACAGCGTAGAATGAAAAATTGGTCATTACACTAATATGTTTTTTAACACAAAATATAAACAATAAATGTTGTATAATGACCAATTTTTCACTCTACAGTCTATTTACACTCTACAGTCCAAACTACACTCTACAGTCCACTACACTACAGTCCTACACTGTATTTATACAAAAGAAAATTAATCGGTTCTATTTCATTTTGCAATGTGTTTAGAAGGCTATGTGAACCTGTGTTTTTTAAATAGAGTATGTGTTGATGTGAGTGCTTCTTTATATAGTTAAATTCCTCCCCGTCCCGTAGTATTTAGGTTAAAACTTTTAAAACTCTCTCAGCCTCTCTTCCCCGCGCGGTTACGCAGTTAACTGAGACATTTTTTTCTAAAATATATACATATATGAAAATCCCATAAATTCTACGTAAAACAATATATATATATATATATATATATATTAATTTTAAA